TGGTTTGGAGTTTCTTTGTTTGGTTATTGAGGCGACTGGCCGAGTGGATTGCTATCAACTTGACCTTTCCAGGCTCTGAAGAAGGCGAAATCCGCCGAAACGTCAGCTTAATCGTGAACAAAGAATAGTAACACCTCGCGTTTGCTCAACAAAAATACGAAGAAAATCACTTGATCAATGCCGAGGTTAATAGAAAGTCGGTCGTGGCATTATTTACTGCCTATTCTTCTTTACGGCAGGGTATACATTGTGAAATATAACTTCAATGATGCTGAGATTGGGGGATGAACGCGCTATTGTCTTTACCGGGGAGTAGCGCACTTCACCACCACACCATCCGGGTCCTTCCTTTTGCCTGTCTCTCAGCTAGTTCTATCGATCTTCTTGCCATCAGCAGTTATCCGTCAACGGGATTGATTTGGGGGCCGAAATCGGTAACGAACCCAGTTAAGCTGAGGCCGTAGTTACAATCACAATTTAACGTATTATTTACTGCCTATTCTTTTTAACGGCAGGGTATACATTGTGAAATATAACTTCAATGATGCTGAGATATTTGCAAAACTCCAGACCGCAGGCGTATGCGGTGGGGAACGAACGCGCTATTGTCTTTCCTTAAGATCGATAGAACTAGCTGAAAGACAACCAAAAGGAAGGACCAGGATGGTGTGGTGGTGAAGTGCGCTACTCCCCGGTAAGGACGATAGCGCGTTCGTTCCCCACCGCGTACACCTGTGATCCGGAGTTTTGCAAATATCTCAGCATCATTGAAATGTTGATTATCCTCAACCAATAAGCGGAGCCTACACGCAAAAGTTTGAAGACCTTCGTTGTTGATGGATACGAGGAAGGCATTCGAATGGAAGGAATGCTAGGATCCGTAGAATATATATGACGGTGAATCATGCTAAAAAAAAGCATTCTGATCGACTGTATAGATCAAGCTAACGGGTAAACAGTCGTCCGTAAAACAAAAGCATAAAATAATATTGCTGTCACCGTAATGGGAAAAATTTCTTCAAGGATAAACTTGCGAAGCTCAATTCGAACACTTGGAACTGAAATGGAGAAAGCTCACTTAACGTATTATTTACTGCTTATTCTTTTTAACGACAGGGTATTCATTGTGAAATATAACTTCAATGATGAAGGACCCGGATGATGTGGTGGTGAAGTGCGCTGCTCCCCGGTAAAAACAGCGCGTGTTCTTTCCCCACCGCATACACCTGAGGTCCGGAGTTTTGCAAATATCTCAGCATCATTGAAGCTCATCTAGTTTTTCGTGCAGGGCAAAAAAAAGGTCAAAGATAGTCAGGTAAAGATTGTTTGACGAGTATCAAACAGAATAGTAATGACGTTAGCCGCAATCTTAAAAACCGACGCTTAAAACTGCCATTTCAGCAGTTGGAACCGATTGCCGCAATGACGTCTGTCGAGGAGGCACCGTATGTTTAAATGGCGTCTGTGTATTGGATCCGTGTCCAGGGAGGTCTGAAGCACATGGAAAATCTGCAAACTTCGGACTCTAGCTGCAAGGGTGCAGACTTTGCCCAGGATAAAGCAGCAAAAAAGTGTGAAATTGTGATTGCGCGGTGTTATGAAGTGTTCAGGTGCCCTGCCGATCAGTCGTGTCGATTGGGAGAGTGCCGTATCATGGAAGGCCTACCATGCGTAGAAGAGTGCAGCGGCCCATTCTTGTGCATTGATGGCCGCTGCAGAAGAAATGGTACGTTTCCGCTTAAACAGCCGATGGCGAATTTTTTTCGGTTTAATGTTTTTAATGATTTAAGGTTGCTAAAATTAGAAACTATGCAAATGTTTTTCATATGATCTAAAAAAGGGTAAGGCCGTCGGCGTTGATCAATCCCTGAGGGATCTGCCATGAATTCGATTTAATTAAACATCGTTTGGAGGTGATTGATTGCACATCTGTCCTTTACAATAATTACCGATGTGTCGAGCCAGTGCTGCTATCCTCCCAGAAGTCTGGTACCAATCTACCAGCTCCGGAGGGATGGATGTCTTCTTGGACCATGGGCGTGGGGGCCAATTCCACGTGTGTTGCAGGGCGCACAAAAAAACCACTGCGCCACACGCGCCCCTCATTAGACTTACTTATGCGAGATTTCATTCTCTCGGTTGATACTCAGTGAACAAATGATTTATCACTAGATCGACGGCTTTTAGCCGTAATGATGTGCCAAAATAGAGGGAAGCGTTTGCTACGAACCCTCCACCATCTACCATGTCGAGAACCATAAATGACCATTACGTTTCTTCTGAGGCCTGACGCATGTAAGGAATTATCAATTTGATAAGTAAAGAAATCCATTTATGAAACGTAGGAGTCACTACAGCTGAATGAACTCGTCAGCTTTCATGTGAGCTGTATTCCAGATTGCGAGCGTCGCGTCTGCCAGCTGGGCGAGTCGTGTGAGAACGGCCACTGCACCCGCGTGGTTGGTCGTTTCTGCACGTGGGCGCCGAGGGACTGTGGGGTGGCGTTCGCCTGCAACGACCATTTCTGTGTCGACCAGCTCACACCGGCCACCACTGCGGGCCAACCTCAACACGACAACACACGTCCCAGCTAGTCCAATCTCTGCCACCACGACACCTCGGCGAATTCTTCGCACGTGTTACGCGGTTGTGTGCAAAGCACATTCGTACTTTTTCATAGCGTATCGATATGCATCATTTTATGTTCCACTTTGAAATATATTTCTGACCATATAAGCTGTCTCGCTTTTTTCCATTGGCAAGCTGGCAAGAAGTTGGTATCAAATTCTATTCGCCCGACATTCAGACCAGGAACTGAATATTCGTACTATGGATGAATGAAAGTTGGTCTGCAAGAACATGCCTCCTTTTGGCTTTCTGATTCCAAGCCTTTTTGGTCTTTACAGAAGCCTTTCAGAGTCTTGAAGAGATGATTCGTTTTCTCACATGCTAAAAATGAGCCTTTGATCCTAAATTTAATATGAATAATACCACAGATTTGTGGACTTTACTGTAAACGCAAAGCTACATTGAAAATCGAATGTACATAATGACACAATACCTAGGACTGCCTTAGGGACCCTAGAAAATCTCTTCAACATCGTGGACCTTCAGAATAGATGGAAAGCCCATTTAAAACAGCCAATTTTCTTCAAATCACACGTAGAGTTAAACAACTTTTGTGACCAGCGACTTACATTAATAAAGGGTCACTGTAGAAATACAAGAGAAAATGAATTGAAGCGGATGTACTTTATATTTCAACACTAAATTGATACCCATAATCTATACGCGACCTCAAAAAAAAATCGAAAAGCGCAAACATTTGACTAAGATGAGTGCACCGTATGAGGGAAAAACTATTGTGAAATAAAAGCACGGACGATTCCATTTAAGAGCTGTAATTTGAGTCGCACAGCTAACCTAATCACAGATCTGTGAAAAGCCTTCGAAAGTTACACGGAAACAAACGCTGGTATCTCACATGTACAATAGGAGCGAGAATGGATAGAGAGGTTCATAGGGCACAATACTTAACAATGAAAACTCATGAAGAAAACTAGAAATGGCCCCAATCGTACTGCATATTCCGATGGTCTATCTCATATTGATTAACGACTTCTTCAGCAATGCCCTGCTGTAGCCAAAGTTGTCGCAACTTGTGGTACAACTCTTCGTTAAGATGGAGCGGATTGCCTCGTCTGCGAATGGGAAAACAGATGTATTTGCCAGTTCAAAGAAATTGGCTCTGCCGTACAAATTTCGGAAAACGATACTAGAAAATGTAACAAAGGAGCCCTCAAAAAAAGTGAATAAAACGAACTTTAGGCTTTTCCTTATAACATATTCTATGCTGTAAATTTTACTCAAGGAAATTTTGTTTTGTAAATGGTTTTAACTAAAACAAAACTAACACTTCATTTTCGCAAAGCTGCACTTGACATACTTCTGAAATCTTTATTAACGCCCAAGTCAACCTTTTGGTCCTTACTGCGACATTTCCGAACACAAATACTTTTTCAAGCCGTAGAGGTAAAAATATGTGGCAAACCTACCGAAACCCTTGGTCAGCTTCTCCAAATTCGTCGACATACGGTGCCGCACGGAAACAACCACGGTTCCGCGTTGTCATCAAGACTACGGCACAGTCTCGGATTCTTTAAAAAAGGAGTATTTAAAAAGGAAAAATAGGAGTAACCAAAATTAAAAACTGAGGAAGCCTTAAAAACTCAGCATTGTTTATTCTATATTGAGAAGATACAGAATAATTTAACAACACATTTTTCCACAGCAACGTGCAAAATTCCTTCAGACTAATAATGTGTGCACATACATACATGTATGCATATATATATACATATATATATATACATACACATATATATGTGTATATACATGGTTTACTAAAATCAGCATTTGCGAAACAACAGAAGATAGACTTCTAATAAATAAAAGACAAAGAAGAATGAGTCACTAACCTTAGAAATACTCCCATTGGACCAGAGCAATGCATCATGTGATATCTACAGGCTCCAGTACTCTCTTTGCCAACCTAAACAACAAAGGCATCAAATGAACAGACTAAGGCCCATACGTATAAAATTCATTGCACCTGTTTCTGACAGCAGTAGCTCTGAGAACACAAAATCTGGCCGCATACAAGGCACATTGTCGGAACATTGGCAGCGTTCTCATCCAGTGGAATTGATGGGCATCTGAATAACGCAGTTCACAGATAGAAATGCATAACAGGCACTTAGACCTTACTTGAATGCCGATGCCAAGTGGATAACCTCGCTAAATTCATACGGAAGGTCAATGAGTTGGGTTGCACGAGTGGGCTGACGAACAACGTCATGCGGGGAAGATGGAGTTGCAGCAGACCACCTTTAACAAACCTTTCAGTAAAAAACATTTGAAGAATTGTGAAGAAATGAATTAGAACTTTGCATGGCAGTTCATCCTATTGGGTCACATTCACGGTGGAACATCTAGATTTTCCAAATAATATTCTTTTGGAACGACTAGTAAACTTCTTCTTGAGAGATTTCCATTGTAAAATATTTCGAATACCATTGAGCTGTGAGCACATCTTGAGCAGATGCTGCAAATAATTTTGCGATATTCAGAATTAAAACTCTTAGAAAGGACATCATCTTTCGATCAATCAAAATCAAGACAACCTTGTTGCATAAGTGTTCAGAGGTATTACCTATTTCTACATTTACCATTGGAGCAGTTGAGTAGAACTACGCTTAATTTAGGCCAGTGGTGGACTTACAACTCACCCGTCATTTAAATATATTGCTGTCAGTATACAATGAAGGATAGCTATTTTTCGAAAACTGCCGACTTTTCGATAGCTGAAAGACTTGAGAAAATGGGAACTAAAAAGGCTTCCTGAAGATACACCGCTCTGTCATGGTACGGAAATGAACACATCTACAGAATTTTAGCGTATCTTGATTGTTAACGTTCCATAACTGGAGACACAATTCAGTTTAAACGATAAGACTAATCGATGATTAATTCCTGGACGAAGGAAACTAATCTATAGCAAAAACTTTTCTAGACGTCTTCCCTGGAGGACAGCTTAGTGCAAAGGAGGATCCATTTTCTTGCCATCTTGGGGAAAAACAGAAAACTTTGCTAAGCAGGCCAACCACCTTGAGCTGAAGGTGATGGAGAGCACAACAGACCTGATAGAGCACTACGGTATTGAAACGAAAAGATGATACGAATAACGTTATCTACAGCTCACGATGAAACCCCTTCTCCTAATTAAATCCGCAACTTACTAGAAGCCATAACCAAGCCACAATCACATAATGAATTGAATGTATAGGAATTAAAAGTTTTAAACGAAAACTGATTCCAGGCAAGAACTTCAATCTGTATAGATTACAAAGACTGTATGATACGTGTTTCAAGTCATACCAATTTAAATCTCCATGAACCACGGATCTCCCTCGTACGAGGGATCTCGAGCCGGTTAGTAGCGAGGCTGCGTGGCGCGTCCCCAGGTGGTGGATAGGAGATTAATCGCGGACGAAAAGCGACCTTTGCTTCCCTGAGACTCAGGTGGATAAAGGGGATGAACTACCTATTTCTGTTGCGCTGATTTGGCACATACTTTCTGTACTTGCTAAACGTATTTATGCATGTGTGTGTGGGTGCGTTGTTGCTTATGCGGATTGCGTTCTATGAGTCGTCAATTCGGCCAAAAGCCTGCAATCAAGTGACAAGGAAATATATGGGAGGCGATTAAGAGTTGCCTCCAACAAATAAGCTCCATGTCCACTCTGGGAGAGCCTGTGAAGCTACCTGTAAGTATACCTGGCCTCCACGTTCACAGCCCAGCAAGCTATACGTGGGTATCAAAAATGCTAAACACAATAAAAGAAAAGGGCCTCAATCCCTTGACCTAGAAAGAGCCCATGAATTCGCAGCGTTGGGTAGGACGAGTACGGAGAGGCTGCTAAAATCTCAGGGATACTGGAAGCTGCATGGATTTCAAAGAACTATGGTGATGATCTGTACCTACAATGCACGTACACTCGCATTCGAGTCTTCGATAGAAGAAGACTTGCTCATGTAAGCAGGAAGGGTAAGGTACGACGTCATCGGCCTGGCCCAGACGAGAAGATGCCAGTCTTTCAACGCCGTCCATGATACCTAAGAAGAACTGTTCCTAGGAACATGCGACAGTAGAAGAGTCGGTGGTGTCGGCGTTCTCGTCAACAACACGAGTTTGTTCATGAACATCGATTCATTCGAACAACTTATAACCCGAATCGGACGTTTACGATTAAAAAGACGTGGATCAATTCCGGTTTTGACCAACTTCGTCGTTTACGCACCGACATCAAACTATGACGAAGAAGAAGTCGAAGCGTTCTATATGGACTTGGAGTTCTACAGAGAAGACCACACATTCTTCAAGGCCACCATGGAGATTCCAACGCCAAGATTAGACCATGAGGAACATCTGAAGAACGTCACATTGGGACCCACGGATTAGAATGGAACGAATGGGTGAGCGGCTGTCTGAGTTTACCATAGCGACCAAGACAATCCATAGGAACTCGCAATTCCAGAAGCCCCGTTCTCAACGCTAGACGTAGTAGTCTCCCAATGGAGAGTACTATAACGAAATAGACCACATAACAGTAAATAGAAGGTTTTGCCTAACCGTGCAAGATCCTATTTTTCTCGGAAAGGAAAAAAGCTGCTAAATTCAGAAACCGAAGTCCCAGAACTACCGTTAACTGGGACTTCTTCCATTCATTAGTCAGCTACTGGGAAGATGGCGTTGTCGATAGCATCGACGAAGAATATAATCGGCTCATTCAACACTTTCACGTTAGCGCTATGAAAGCTGAGAGTTCGAAAGTCACCAAGACACGTTTGTCTCCGGAAACACTCGAACTGATGCCTAGCGTTGAAGTGCAGGCAACCGAAAACTAACGTCCGAACTTGCAAAACAATACAGACAGGCGATAAAAGAGGATCTTAAAGCGAGGAGAGCAGCAGCAGTGGTCGAAGCCGCAGAGGCTGGGAAAAACATTGGTAAAGCACACTGAACCTTCGCCAATTACAAGACCAAAAAGATCGCACTCCGGCGCGCAGACGGAATAGTTACCAGAAAGGCAATGGAGAAAATCGTTCACGAATACTACTCGGACAGGTAATACTACTCTTCGACAGCCACGTCCACCTTCCGTTATATGAAATAAAGGAGGATGGATATGTTGTACCACCGGTTCCTCCTTCCGAAATCCGACATGCCGTCGGTGAAAAACTGAACAGCACCAGGTCCGGATAGGATACGACCAGAACACCTAAAGAATCTTCCGCAAATCCTCGTAAACCCACTGGCTCAGCTCTTCACACGTTACCTCTCCGAATGCAAAGTCTCTACTCAGTTGAAGACAAGCAAAACCGTGTCATTGCTCAGGAAGGATGATCTACACGATTTCAGCAATTATCGCCTAATCTGCTTGCTGTCTGTCGTCTACAAACTTTTCATTCGAGTCATTCTTAACAGGATTGACAGAACACTAGAGGAAGGACAGCCATGTGAGCAAGCAGGGTTTCGAAGAGGATTTAGCACAGTGGACCACATCCACACGGGCTCATTGAAGTATCGCGAGAGTACAAAAGATCACTCTATCTCATTTTCATCGATTTACAGAAGGCCTTTGATTCAGTTGAGATAGAAGCAGTCTTGGAAGCCCTTGACAGTCAAGGAGTCCCTACTCAGTACATAAAAATTCTTCGTGAGTGAGCTGTACTAAAATTTCACAACCAAGCCATTCTACAACGACATTAACATCGACGTCAAAAGAGGAGTTAGGCAAGGCGATACCATCTCGCAAAAATTATTTACCGCCACCCTCCAGAACGTCATGCGAACATTGGAATGGGATAATATGGGAGTGAAAATCGACGGTCGGCAGTTACACCATCTTCGTTTTGCTGATGACATCGTCCTTATAACACCAAACATTAGCGAAGCGAAACGTATGCTTGACGGCTTTGATAGAGCCTGTGGAAGGGTTGGTATTCGACTAAATCTCACAAAAACGATGTTCATGAAGAAGAGATTGGTTTCGCATGCCCGTTCACGCTCAACGGAACCAATGCCTCCGTTCTTCACAAAGAGCCTTGAAGAAAGATATGATGCCCGACGAGTTCCTAGAGCGAGCAGAACCCACTGGGCTACTCTTGCACGCGACAGGGAAATTGGAAGATTTACTGGTGTCCGCTCTAGTCACTCGACGATCAACAGGACTACAGGTGATACAGGTGATCAATTTAAATGGAAGTTCCTAAGCACAGCGTTAAAACATTAGTAGAAACTCAAAAGACCGACTTTCTATAAACCTCGGCATAGATAGTTGATATATTTATTTATATGATCTCATGAACTGAACTTCTTTGGCAAATGCGAGGTTGGTAAAGGTTTTCGCTGTCGCTGTCGTTGTCGTTGTTGTTGTCGTTGCTGTTGTTCTCGTTGGTCGATGGCTGACGTTTCGGCGATCCTCACTCGTAACATCATGGCTATGAGGAAGGCGGAAAGACAACGACAACGAAGACCTATACTAACCTTGCATTTTCTAAACAAGATCAGTTTATAATGTCATATAAATAAATATGTCAACATTAGTAAAAAGTTATGTTAGTAAGACTTTGCTATTTTTAATGACGAAATGTGTTAAGACACTACAACAGAAGCATATTAAGTGCACATGTACTATGCAACTCAGATGTGGTCGTCGGTTTGATCTCGCGCCCCGGCTCATCAAGCTTTTGTCACTCCGCGGTTTTCAAACTGCTACGCGCTTTGTCCAAGAATATAGCAATCCTTCCTTAATACACGAGGTCAACACGTGTTACTGTAGAGGCCAGGATAGCCTCTCCCTCTTAAATCACCTCTAACAATGTTTAACAAATTCGAAGGCATATTGCTTCACTCAGAGATAGGGTAACGTCGAAAGCTTTAAACCTTCTTTATTGTACTGAAAAGATGCACCTAAGTATGGAACTTTAATGATAAAGTACACTAAGGACATCCCCGTACTCTCTTCAACGGATAGTCTGTGATTATTCCTTTACCGGCAATAGTGCATCACTGCAAAATGAGCTTGCCAAAGACCTCTTTTTAAATTACTAAGCACAGAGGACAGGTTTCCATTGCTGACGCAACATCTGTGTCGGGTATTCCATCGAAAGAATGCGAAAACCAATACAAGTAGGCATTGCGCGGCAAAACAAACTACTGAAGAAATGAAATGAGATCAATACACCTCGCCCATTTTGCTCCACTAGTGCATTAACATCAATGTATCTCGGATATTATGTCTTGAAATTCTTGAGATAAAAGGCTTCGAACACGTTTTTGTGTTAAAATGATTTGCTCAATTTCTACACCTCCTTAAATATGAACGATTCTGGTAATCAAAATAATACTGAATAATCGCTGTGTACCAAGTTCGAGTAGTTACTTACATATGCAACCTCTATATCTAATTTTGTTTTGCGAACGAGGGAAGAAAGCATCTAAGGCGGTGTGTTAGGAGTAGTACGTGATCTATATCGTTTACTCTGCTTCCCAAAGCGGGAGACTCTTCTCGTCAGCAACTCGTGAGGCATATCCTTATCACTAGTCGGTTTGGTCGCAGGAATAAAGTCGCAGGAGAAGCCGTTTCTAGAAAAGAGAAAGGAGAGAAAAATTGAGCTGAGATATAGCGCGAGGTCACGGATACCACAAGGCACACCTCTTTGCCGTCCACTCTTGGATTCTTGGAATTTACCCAAGCGCTTCAACACTTTTACGTGCTGATGTTACGGATTCCTGTGCGAGTAAAGTGACATTTATTTCACAATCTTCTCTGTTATGTCTACTTGTCTTAAGCGTGCCTAGCAGAGTGTTTTCTTTGACTTTAGGTTTCCCAACTAGGTGGTCTTTTATGCGGACATAGAGTGTGTTTTGCGACCGTGTTCGGCACCACAGGCTTTGCAAGAAATCAGGTACACCGTGCTCTAACTCATGCAATCACCATCTCTACCATTAAGGCACATTTTACAGATTTTTTTAGAAACGGTTACAAACTAGTTGACGTTTTAAAGTGTTCGCTGGTATTTCAACCATTACTCCAGAATTCTCTAGAAAGGTCTTTTTTAAGCACAGCTTCATAGCAATGCCTACATTGCCGGAGATAAAGGGGAGGTCAAACGGGACCTTGTTTTCGTTAGACGTTTGAGGGCTTCGTTTTTCCTGCAAACCATTCCCGACAAGCTACTGCTTCGCAGTCATTGGAAACAGCTATTTGCCTCGCAATTTTCAAGAATTCTTCTTTCTGCTCTCCTTCTGTGCGCACATTGATGGCTGTTCAAAACATGTTTCTCGCAACTGCCCTTTTTGTGTATGAAGGGTGTAATGCACTAGTATGTTTTATTACTTGACTTTCGGTAGCGTTTGATGATATAAACGTTTTCGAAAGAATAGTGTGAAGTTTACCAATCTTTCTCCGGTTTCTTTTAGGTGAAATTTATGTACTCTGACTGTCAAAAGGATAATGGATAAAGCTCTCAGCATTGATAAATCCTTGAGGGATGCGCCATGCATTCGACTTCACTAAGTAACGTTGGAGGTGATTGAAAGCATATCTCGCCTTTACAATCACTCGCAGTAGCCTACCGATGTATCGAGCCAGTGTTGCTAACCTCCCAGACAAGTCTGAGACCAATTTGCCAATCCCGGAGGGATGGAGGAACGCTTGGTGGGCCGTGGGAGCGAGGATCGTTTCCACGTGTGTGTCGCAGCGGCGCCTCCAACCACTGCGCCACACGCGCCCCTCTGATTGTAGATTAAGCAATTCAAAACATTTGTCTGTCTCCACTTGTGTTGGGCAGATGATAAAGCAATCGTCAATATAGCTCCAGAAGAATAGCGATCAGAGACCGAGTACGAGGTCTTTATCTTAAGACATGAAAGTTATGGCAAGGCTAGGTGACAATTATTGTCCCATTGCCAACCCTCCCATTTGCGGAAATACTTCCTGGATCGTCTTAAGATTGAGCAATTTACACAATCCTTTAAGAAGGTCAAAGGTGCTGAATCGACGACCCATAAGATGTTAATTGTTCTCGTGTTGTATCAAGAGTTTGAGGTTGGTTCCCGTTGCGGAGTCATTTGACACGTTTGCATAAAGGGCGGTTAACCGTAATACATTTCCCAATAACGCACAAGTGATGGAGTCCTTCGACATGTCTAACGAAAACGAGGTTCCGTTTAATCTATTCTTTATCTCTAACAATTCAAGCCTCGATGTAAAGAATGCTTTAAAAGAGACAGCTTAGTGAATTTGGAAACAGTGAATGAAATTTCATCGATCACTTAAAACGTCAACTAGCTCGTAAGCGCTTCTAAAAAGGATTGTAAAATGTGCGTTAATGGTAGAGACGGTGGTTGCATGAGCTCGAGTATGTTGTGCATGACCTCTTTTAAAGCATGTAGGAACAAACACTGCGAAGCCGGTAGAGCACTCCGGCGTTCGCATAAAAGAGCACCAAGTTGGGAAACCTAAAGGCAACCGAAACAACTCACCATGCACGCATAGGACACAAGCACATAACGGAGAAGATTTTGAAGCAAAATTACAATCTCCGCAAATGGGTTTAAAACATCAACGCATAAAACTCTTAAACCGTTTCGAATAAAGTCAAAAAATCCAAAAATCTGAAGAGAAAGAGGGAGAAATGCTTGTGATCACGCGTTACCTAGCACCATACGTCAACCTGATTTTTTGACCTGAGCCAGCCATATTCCTTACCCATGTAAGACTCTATGCGGCTGACTTCGAACAGTTAGTGGAAAATTTATAAAGAAAGAAAACGGTGAGTGTTTAAAAGAAGCTATTTGCTATGCAAATAGAGCTTACATATGCAATTTCTTCTGCTTGGGTTATGAAAATGTTTGGATAAATAGATTGCATGTCAACTTAACCTTCTAAGCTTTGAAGAAGGCGAAATGCTGAGATTTAAGACATAATTGGATAAATCTTGTTCTGAGCAGCCTCGTTTCCGCCGAAGAAAAAACAACGATTTACCGAATAATGCCGAGGTCAATAGAAAGTCGGTACTGAGAACAGCAATTAAAATTGACCAACGGACAAACGAAAAACTTGCTCACATATAAAACAGCTGCTCTATAGCTATTCCATCCAAAAGTTCAGCAAGATGTGATGGAAGCCCCATGTATCGACATAATGGTTCGAATTCGTCAACTGATGGATCTTAAATAAATTTATAGAAAATTGTACACGACGCTGCTTTAATAGCATTAACTGATGTAATATACCTTTTAAGGCCTCGGGAGGATTGACAAGTGTTAAAGCATGATAGAATAATGCTAACGGGCGCAACAAGGACAACGTCGCCTCAGTCAGAGTCTGAAAAAGAACAGATAATCTAAAATAACAAGTAACCAGATCGATAATGACGACCGCATCTATTAGAATCAAAGACTTACAGTGTACAGCCGTGGGACATCAACCAAGGCGCCGTCAGAATATCTCGCGATAGACCATAACAATTCCAGACGAGAAGAAGAAGCTTTGTCAACTGTGCCTCCACTTTCTTCATCTCGAATTTCGCTGTCTACGAATGACGCAAACACCTATGAAAATAAGATAATTAGAGATAATTGAGCAGATAGTAAATACTAATGTATCAAGAGTACAAAAAGGATAACTGAAGTATAAAGCATAAAAGAAAACGATCTAATAATCACAGAGGGTCTCAAGAGGTACCTGGAAATAAAGCCCTGTAAGACAGAGACGTAGAACGTGCAGTTCGTCTAATGACCCATCTGGAAGCATTTCACGCAGCTGGCGAGTTGGTTTCAGTGATTGAAAACCGTCGTTCCACGTCCAACCGATTGACATCATCAATGACAGCTACAATAAAAACAATCATCGATAACCAAATAAGCATTTTGTTATCGACGAATCACAATACTAATGATATAAAGTAAATCCAAATAAGAGAAAACTCACTGCTAAACTCAACATGTCAACGTGAAGGAGGTTCACGTTTACCTCCTTTTTACTAGAGAACAATTGAGCAAAAGTGGACGATAAAAGTTTTGCTGGCGAGTCTGACGACAACGGGCTTGAAAGATGTACTCCATAAAGATAAAACAATAGAAACTTTAATGAATAAAACTTTAAAGAGTGATGCACCTTGAGCTTGCAAAACTATATACTGGACTAGTAGCTGCGTGATAATCTGGCGAGCGCGGGCTTACTGGAGCCACACCGATAGTCGAAGGCACCGGAGGTGGGGGAGTTAGTAGTACTCTCAACATATTCGCAGTGAAATCAGGTAGAAGTTGGATGCAAAATGAGAGAGCCGCCGATAGGCGAGCCATTGCCAACAGACAGTCTCGCTGAAATATTTTCAATCAAATATATATGGCAAAAGAGTAAACAGTCTGTTAATACATTATTTCTTTGTGTGGTGGATTTTCTTACTTTCAACTCCGATAAAAATGCGGTGAACAAAGGATAACTGATCTCGAACAAAAGATTTTAAAGTACTTAGTTATTACCAAATCAATGCTTTAAAAATATAGTCCTATCTTAAGTGTTCATGTGCGTAGCGTGAAATATCAAAACCTTTACAGACACTGAGAAAGAAAGACAAGGAATGAGGTAAACTGAAACTCGCAGCGAATCCGAGCGGCACATCGTTTAATTTACCCACGATGTTAAACATTTCATTTAAATAGAACCAGATCTTACTGGGGATAGGGGATTGGCAATTAGCAAGCAAAAAAATATTAAAAGCTGTGACTTTTCAGGCAAGGCACAATCCATTCAATTCTGCAAGCATGCTGTTATAACAAGGTAGCTCATATAACAGTGACAAAACAAAACAAAAACCACCCAAGACAGATGTTGCCTTTAATCTTGTGCTACGACCTGATCTTTGTAATTAGACATTTAAAAAAAGTTGGAAAGCAAAACACTTACCTGACGCGTATTCATAGCGCAGAACAGTGGCTTCCTTTCATTATCGAGGACAGCTGCTATTGTTCTCGCTACGTGAGCGGCACTCTTCCACACTGCTAGAGCAGCAGGAGGACTGTGAACATCGTCATGACTGTCCCTAGCTTTCGTCTCATCTGTACCACGGACACGTCCCTAAACACGGGTTCTTATTGCAGAATCTCCAAATCATCCATTAAAGTTTTGGTTGAAATCGAAAAAAGAGATTTAGTTGAACACTTAAACAAAAAATTAGGCAAACCTTATGAATCAGCACACTGCTGAAGACCTTCACCATTTCTTCGTAGCGTTCATATGAGGGCCCAACACTATAATACACTCGTTTCCAATTTAAACTCTTCTTAATAACTGAAATCTACTCGAAAATGGAGGTTACATCTTTCTCAAGAGCTTCAACAGTACAGCTACTCCAGCGGATGGTAACCCCTTAATTATGCCTCCAAGGAAACCAAATCGTCCACTTGTAGCATCGCTTCGTCTCTCACGACGTGCAGAAGCGAGATCTGACGACGAGGATGTTTCGTATTGTGGTGAGGTCAGCTGAACTCAAATTATAACAATAATCTTTTGAAGTCAACAACCGAAATACTTACCACTTCGATGTCGGCACGGGTTTCTGAGTTCTGCACACGCATGATTTCGGTCATTTCACGGAACAGGTCAACAGCTCGCTGAGGATCCTCTTCAACGTCGACATCTAAATGACAGGAGCTTCACTGGCAATTGGAAGTGAAAATACTTACAAATTCCAAAACTGATTTTCTATTAACCCCGGCACTGATCAATAATTCACCATTTTTCCTCAGTAAGCAAATACGAGGTTGGTTTACAGAATTTAATAGCAGAAAATAATTGATGTTTCGGCGGTTTCGCCTACTCCAGAACCTGGCAGAGTCAAACTGACATGCAATCCACTCAGTCAAGAAATTTCATAACATCAGGAGACAAAACTTACCACACAAATTTTCATTCGCACAATAAACAAGTTCTGAACACTCACCGTTTCAACATTGTAAATCGAATTAATCATCAAATAGTCAGCGTATAAAACTCTTCAAGTGCTTTGGATAAATTCTAGAAATCCAAAAATGAACCGCAAGGATGAGTGTTGAGACCAGGCCTGATCTACCGCCATAACTCAACCTAATTCTTTGAACTGAACTAGGCACGGTCCTCGCCCATGTAAGAAGACTCTGTGCGGATGATCTCCACCAAATAACTGGAAACCTTACAAGAAACAATACGGTGAGTCTTTTTACTTCCGTTCAGCAAACACGAGGTGCTATTTTATTTCTTTATTCACGTACAAGCTGACGTTTCAGCGGATTTCGCCTTCCTCAGAGCCTGGAAAGGTCAAATTGACAGCAACCTATTCGTCCAAACACCTCTATAACCAAACAGAGAAATCGCTAAATCAAGATTTCAATCACATTTAACATAGCTCTGCACACTCACTGCTTTCTATGAGTCTTCCACTGAATATGTCGTGTAAAGACCGATCGCACAGAATTCTGAATTGAATTTGCATTGTGACTTCTGTGCGGTAGGTCTTCACACGACATACTCAGTGGAAGACTCATAGAAAGCTGTGAGTGTGCAGAGCTATGTTAAATGTGATTGAAATCTTGGTTTAGCGTTTTCTTTGTTTTGTTGTAGAGGTGTTTGGCCGAATAGGTTGATGTCAACTTGACTCTTCCAGGCTCTGAGGAAGGCGAAATCCGCCGAAACGTCAGCTTGTACGTAAATAAAGAAATAAAACAGCACCTCGTGTTTGCTGAACAGAAGTAGAAAGAATTATTCAATCAATGCCGAGGTTAATAGAAAGTCGGACTTGGGAATAGGGTGAGTTTCTACAAGAAGCTGTTTGTTATGCAAATGAAGATTTGTGTGTCGCTTTTTGTCTGTTGAGGCTATGAAAGTATTTGGCTTAGATTGTATGTCAAATTGACCATTCTACGCTCTCAAGAAACGAAACTGCCGAAAAGTTAGCCGTTGTATGCTAATAAATGCCATAATACTGACCTCGTGCTTGTTCATCGAAGAATGAATGCTTACATATCTTTTCTAAAACTCCTTTGTGAATATGATGACGTGAATTTACAGCTATAAATTAGATATAACAGCAAAGGAACACATATTGGTACACACTGATGATATACTGATATCTTTATATACTGGTCCACAGTAGTAAACTATGTACCCATTGCACTACACGAAGTGCTTGAAGTGGTTTCCGCGGGCAGTTGAGCTGATGTTTTCTGTCCGAGCAACAGTGACATTGTAGAAGCAGAAGGAACTGATGTAGATAGTGAATTGTCAAGTGGCATTACCGAAAGCTCATCTCCTTGTTTCACCAGCTCCAATAAAGAACGTTCGGAGTGAGATCTACGAATATATTAATTATACTCGACTTATTAATTCAGGATGATACTAGTCCTATTATTTTAAAAAGAGTTAAACACATCTTACCTCTTCCTGCTGTGCGTTTTCGGCTTCTGGGTTGGTGTTTGCCGTACTGGTGGGGTATCCAAAAGGTTTTTCACCCTATTAACCCAGCTGTCAAAGTCTTCGTTCTTATCGTTACGTGCTCTGGAGAACCTACAATATAAAAAACATTACGAATGAAAATCCATTTTCAGACAAGTATTTGCTAACCCATCAATATCCATCAGTTGCAGCGCCGGTAACAAAGGCATTGCAGTGTTTGAAAGACGTTTACAAAGAGGACATAGATACTCCCCTACCTAGTAAAAAAAAATAACTGCAATAAATATCAGGACGAAAATGACCACGACAAAAGTCTCACGTACCTCAGGATCAACCATTTTTTGATTGAAAACCATTTGTTGACGAGGACGTTGACGTTCTCTGCTAAGCAGTGTTTCCAGAAGGCTGCAACATCAGAAATAAGTCTTTCATTGACAATCTCATGGCAAATGTCAAAATAGAAGACTTAACTTCGTTACAACACATTTATTGAAAAATAAGAGCATATATTTTTAAAAAATATCAAAGCAAAAAAAGAAAGTATAAGCCAACTATTTTGATGCTTAGCGAGCCTTCTTAGGACCCATTCAAGAGCCAGATAATCAAAAAGGCGAAAGATAATTTGACAGAACATCGCTTGACCAAACCTCTTTCCTATCAATGTATATACATATGTATATATACATGTATACATATATACATGCATACACATGTATATATACATTATACATACACATATATCTTCTCTCCATCCACTTTGTTTCCTTCTCATAGTCGCTTGTAGTATTGGCCTATGCTCGCCTCGGATGCTCGCTAGTAGCATGACTCGCTTCCAACGCGGAATAAATTTTTATCGCCCATCATCTGAGGAGGAATTCAAAAGTAAATACCGAAAACTAAACCACGAATGGGCCAAAATGGCAAGGGCTGCTGGTTTAAAACCATCAGTTATCTCTCAACTTAGAGTTGACTTACCAACATTCCCCGTCTTGTACTTACTTATAAAAACTCATAAGTTAGTATCCAGCGATGATCTTGCGTCTAATGATCCATCACTATTTAAGGTTAGACCTATCATTAGCTGCGTAGACGGGCCAACGGACAGGATAACATGGTTTTTAACCCTAATATTTAACCAGTTGTTGAAGCACATTCCAGCCCACCTTACGAATACCCAGATGTTTCTGGATCGTCTACGTACTGCGCAGCTCAACAGCGCGTGCGTGATGGAGTCCTTCGACGTTACCGCCCTTTATACAAACGTGTCGAATGACTCCGCAATGCAAGCCATATTCGAACTCCTTACACAACACGAAGGAGAAATAAACATGTATGGCTTCAGGATAGAGCACCTGATGGCACTCTTAAAAGAATGCTTGGGCTGCTCAATCTTCAGATGGTCTGGAAAGTACTACGCTCAAATAAGAGGGTTGGCAATGGGGCAACGACTGGCTCCAAGCCTTGCCATTGCATTTATGTCTAAGGTGGAAGCACCGGTGACTGATCTCGGGCCGCTACTCTATTGTAGGTATGTAGACGACTGCTTTGTCCTCTGCTCAACACAAGAGGAATTGAACAAATGCTTCGAATTGTTAAACGCACAGTCAGAGTATATCAAGTTCACCCGAGAAAAGCCGAAAGAAAAATGGCTTCCATTTTTGAACGTACAAATTCACCTATCAGAAAATGGCTACATTACAAAGTGGTACCGAAAGCCAAGTAGTAAAAATATCTTGGTTCATTACCTCTCCTCTCACCCCTCTCACACGAAAAGGGCGCTTATAAGAAACATGTTTCGAACAGCAACCAACGTGTGCACGGGAAGAGAGCAGAGAGAGGAGTCCCGGAACTTGGCACGGCAAATAGCCGTTTCTAATGGCTACGAAACTGTAGCTCAGAATAGGTGTAGAGGAAATCGTAGGCCTCCAAACGACAACTCTAACGATAGAAGGGTCCCGTTTATCCTACCCTTCATCTCAAATGATATAAGTAGAGCTATAAAACGCTGCTTAAGAAGGGCGGGCTTAGAGAATTCGGTGAGCGTAGTTGAAATACCACCGAGTAATCTTAAGCGCCAGCTAGTTCGTAACCGCCTATATGACCGTCTATGTGCAACTCAAAATTGCATAATTTGCCCCAGTGGTAGAGACGGTGATTGCATGAGCTCGGGTATAGTTTATCTGATCTCCTGTAAGATGTGTGGTGACGAATACATTGGCGAAACGGGTAGACCCCTCTGTGTCCGCATGAAAAAACACCTAGCCGGCAAAAATAGACCAAATACCCCGCTAGGCACGCATAGGACCCAGAGACATAACGGGGACGACTTCGAAGTATGTGTCACGATCCTCGCACGCGAATCAAGAACACAGGCGCGAAAAACTCTCGAGGCACTCTGGATTAATTCCAGAAATCCGAAAATGAACCGCAGGGAAGAATGCCTCATTATCACGCGTGATATAGGGCAGTATATAAAACTGCTTTTCTGATGTGAGGGGCACATTATACTTCCACGTGATTTCTGTGCGGTTGGTCTCTACGTGACATACTTAGTGGAAACCTCATAGAAAGCGGTGAGTGTGCAAAGCTGTGTTCAAAGTGATTGAAATCTTGGTTTGGAGTTTCTTTGTTTGGTTATTGAGGCGACTGGCCGAGTGGATTGCTATCAACTTGACCTTTCCAGGCTCTGAAGAAGGCGAAATCCGCCGAAACGTCAGCTTAATCGTGAACAAAGAATAATAACACCTCGCGTTTGCTCAACAAAAATACGAAGAGAATAAATTTTGAATGGCATAAACACATCCGACCGTCTCATAGGTGGATTTCTATGTGGTATAGTAGAAAAATTTTTTCTAGACCGAACCACTCCACTCTTTTTCTTCTCACACAACCTATACACGTATTGCTTCCCACGTGTTTTCTTCCTAAATTTCGAAAATGAGTTTACTTCAGAAAATGCAATTAAAGCGTTTGCTAACCCTTCAAACTCTCGGATTGGTTGAAATATCAATTCAAGATGTACTAAGAACAGCAAACAATAACACAGCACTAAGAAACCATCACGAGAAATAGAGGAGATAGGGACAGCTTTGAGTCTCTAAGCTAATTGTTGCCTTTTCTGAGAGAACAGGATGCGGTTAATGCTGTTCTCCTACGCTCCGCAAGATTTCTTGGTACCCTTTCTAAATTCACGGAGCGCGAAAGGTGCATGTAGGATCTGCTTCCTGTAATGAAGAGATCGCCCATTTCTAGCTCTTTTCAACGGCGCCATCCATGATTTTTTTACCAGCAAATTTTCCTCCTATTTGAGACCTCCAGTAGTGCTATTCGTTTCACTGTTTTGTTGAGTTCTATGAGTATTTTCTCAGCTGCACTGACGCTCTCCGGAAATACAGTCATGTTCGTAAAGCATCGCCATACCCTCTTACTCTCACTCCTTCGTTCTTACATGATATATATATATATACATGTATACACATATATGTACATATACATATATGACTATATATACATAAATATGTATATAAATATATGCAGGTGCATACACACATTTACGTATATATATATATATATATCCATATCTATATATATATATATATATGTATGTATGTATACATATATATGCATGTATATACACATAGTGTTTAGAGTTCCAAAGAAGAACGTTATTTTCGCGGAGAAGATAACCGCCAGTTAGCATCTATAAGTAGAAAGGATTTACAGCTTGGCCGATGGGCGCCGATATAAAAACATTTTCGATACGGACTCTTACCCGATTTCTCCATCGACTAATTGCAGAAATATCTACTGTTGCGAAAGAATCACTGTCCCAGAGCATCAAACCTTCCCACGATGCCCAAACCCTTATTGGTGCTTTTGATGCTTGTGGTTTCAGAATGTCTTAACACGGATGTCTTGGGATTACATGAAAAACGATGCTCAGTATTCATCTAACGTGACAGCGCTTCAAACCGCAAATCGAAGATAACCCCATTGTCGATGAGTGCGTATAAGATGAAATGAATAGAAGACGAAAGCTCCTCATTACATCAAAGCAAGGACCATTTACGCATCTACTTATCATCCGTATCACATATCCTCGAGTGGAATACCGAGTGACTCGAGTAGGAGCTAGTACAGTTTCCATTTCTCCCGAACTGGCCCTTTTGGTTCGACTTGCTCTAGAAACTCGTTGAGCGTCATATCCTTGGCCAAGGATGTTCGTGGAGAACTACAGTAATGAGATTAGTGGTCTACCCACTCTGGTGCACGTTTGATATTGCCTGGAATAGTCATTAATTACTCCTAGCCATCGGTCGTTGTTTAGATGCATCATGTGTCCGGCCCACCTTGTTTTCATCATTCTAGTGGATTCAGCGGAGTTGCCGACCTTTAGTCGTTGAAGTGGAACAGAACCTCGCATTCACTCCCTAATTTGAGTTTAATAACTGCACAAAGTTTATGCATAGAACAGGACCGGACTTCGATTTCAGCACTACACCCAGCCTCGATTAACGTTTACCACCACGTCATTATTACAACAATGAACGTCCTATGATGCTGAGATATTTCACATCGTACCCTGCCATGAAAAATGGTAATAGAAAGTAAGAAGTTAACATTTTGATTTTTGATTTTTCGACCACAGCCTCAACTTTACTACGACCAATGCTAATTTGTGATCTCCAGATCATTTCTGTTGATGGGTAACTGCTAATGGCACCATTAGGTAGAAAACCGGCTGAGAGAAAGGTAAAGCAATGAACTCAATGGTGCAGTGGGTAACATGTGAGCATCCGAAAAGAGTAATCGTATAGTAACTATTTCCCATACACTTCCCAATCTTTATAGGATTGTGTAATCGTGTATCTCCCATATTAACTACGCTTACTGCTGACCACATTTATCTTTGCATTCAACGCTTCATAGCGCTTTCACATAAACAAGGTGTATAACCCTTTGATCCGCTTCCACATGAACTTTTTGTACAAACCTTTGCATAAACTATCTCATCACTTTGACATGAACTTTCTGTGTAAACCTTTTTGTCGCTTCTCAGATGAACTTTCCGTATGACTGGCTGCGGGCTTTCTCATGTACTGTAGCTCCCTCTTTTAAAACCCCACACATTATGGAAAGAATATAAGAAGCACTACTCCTAACGGTTTACCGCCTAATAGTGACTGGAAGGTACCCCTGGACGTCGGACTGTGATGTAAAGTGGAGGGATTTATCCCCTGGCAGGGTCTCCCAAGCTGAGGATTCCGACGTTTCCATCAGAAAGCCCAGTTAGGAGCAAAACAATACTAGGATCCAGCAACGTCCTGGTATCAAACTGGTCGCATGGTGGCAAATCTCCCTCTGATCTAGGACTTCGACTGGCTGTGGTGGTGAGGACGTCGTGCAGATTTTGACCACGCTGAGCTCGAGATTTCAGGAAAACACAATAGTTAAACCAGCAGAATTAAGAAAAATGGAGATTATGCTGGGGCCCGCGCAACCTGTGAGGACGGGTCATCCAAGTATCCAAGTATATAAGGAGCACTATTAGTCAACAAGGTAGTGTCTCCGCACTCCAGTGTCCGAGCTATGTGTACCAGCTCCAGTGTCCAGTGTATCGCAAAGTTTCGTTCAATTGTTTCACTCATCCCTCTCTCAGTTTCGCTCGTGCTCGTTCGCTCAATTATACATCGTCAGATTGTTTATACCGCATTGTCAATATTGCTATAAACTGTTATAACCTAAGCTTGAGATTGTTGTCTGTGCCTACGTTAAAAAGTCCCACGTGACAAACTCGTACAAAATCGAGCATTCTATTTCGAGTTACATATATTATATTATTATATTACATATATTATTATTACATATATTAGTTACATATATTCTGTGCCGAAGACTGACCCGAAGTCCTATATTCCACTGTACCAACTAAAGGAAATCGCTGGTTCGATCTCGCCTGTGGTAAAGGTTTTTCAAATATCTCAACATGATAGTCAGAAAATAAAACATTAACATAATGATCCTGCTTATCCGTCATCTTTATTATGGTGATAGATTTACATGCGAGAATATACCGTAACAAATAACGGAAAACAGCGCTATCGCCATTACCCACTTATTTACATGGACGGTTCGCCCTCACTGGTTGTGCGGCCCCACCATAATTTCCACTTTTCGCTGTTTTGTTGGTTTAGCCCTTGTGTTTCTCTGGAGTCCTGAGGTCAGCCTGGCCAAAGCCTCCCCCAAGTCGTCACCACCACAGGCAGTCGCCGCCCTTGTGGATCAGAGGGAAATGTGTCACCATACGACTAAGTTGATACAAGGACGGTGGTGCCCGCTATTGGTTTAGTCTTAGCTGGGCTTCTTAATGGAAACGTCGAACTCCTTGTCAGCTTGAGAGACTCTGCGGGTGGTATGAATCCCCTGCTGTAAATCTCAGCCCGACACCCAGGAACATCTCCCAGTCATGATGAGGCGGCAAACCGTTAGGCGGATCGCGATTATCAAATAAAAAACGGACCTTTATTTTGTGTTAAATTTTGCAAGTACTATAGCAAATATGAGGCAGCGAAAGAGGGATGAAAGTTTCAGACCTGTGAAAACATTCGTAATGCATTGTATGTGAACACGTAGAAGCGTCGATACCAAAAAGGAGATTAGCTGGCGCCAAATCTCGTAATTTCGCATCGTTTTCAGGCTCGCCACGTTGCGCAAATAGTAATGACCTGCAATCACCGATTACTTAAAAGAGGAAAAAAAGATGAAATTCAACAAACGCACTTCTGTACATAGGCTGCACATACGAACGCTTTTCCACTCTTAGGACATAGTATCTCTTCCTCTTGACACAATATGCATGTCACTTTCCGTGGCAGAACTTCTTCAACACGACTGCGCTGTGGGCCCAAGCAGACGGGAAATCCATGATCCTCTTGCTTGCTGAAGTATTATAATGAAAAAGAATAATATACGAATTACGAAAAAAGATCCAGTGCGATTCTGTTCTAAACAATGAAAACACTTTATAAACTGTATAGTGAAAGTGAACATGGAAAATAATACAAAATTTGAAGCCGGTAAAGACGAGCCAACCTAACAAAGTCCTCATCATCATCGCCCCGAAAGTCCGACACTGCACTTCCTGGTTGATTTTGATCCGACGAAACAGGATTCTCTGTTTCCATGACCTTCAGGAAGGATTTTTGCATTTTTGACATCTAAAACAAAGCAGTTTAGTAGAAGCGATGACTAACTCATCGAAATATTATAACAAGCAATAACAGTAGAAAGAAACCTTCATCATTGCTTGTTCCCGCATTCTCGCCGCTCGTTCAGCACGCTTTGCTCTGGCGTCATTTGTGGTTTCCTGATTATCAACACTTTCTTTTCCTTTCTCCGTTGTATGCCCAGTTGCAGACAACCGTTGAATTTCTTTGTAATTCTGCAAGTTTCAAATGCAATAATTTATAAAGCGAGCTTTCGAAACTCTACCTGGATTGTCCACCAAAGTAGATCAGCATGACTAGCAACTTCTGTAGAACCGGCAAGCGACTCTAGTGATTGTAACAACTCTTCCTTTGCTGCTGTTTCAATGAATGGAAAGCCTTGAAGATCCCGCGCTTGTTCGTGTAAAGCCATTCCAATTAAATACAAAGCCTGAAACAGAACGCTCCCATTTTTACACTACACGAAAACGAACAACAACAAAACGGAGTACCCGGTGAAGGAGCCGGTCGCTTGAAAATCGACTACGCTTCCCTGTCCTATCCAAAACGAGTTTTAAAATTTTGATCAAACACGGAGTTTTGAGAATATTCCGAACGGGGACGAAGAAGGGTTCAAACTCACAAGGAACTGGTGGTGGACATGCTTGCAGTTTTCTAGAAAATGGAACAAAGTTTATAACGAGGTAAACAGTGTAGAAATAGGACAGCTCCTCAGCCTCTATACTAACTTACCGATTAAGCTTTAACCGCACTTTTTGTTGATACTGCTCAGCTTGTGAAAGATCACTTTTCGAGTAATGGTAAAAGAAAGGGTTGTACTCCGACAGCAATGTGTCTTTCAAGTGGAACTGTCCTGCAGAAGTTGAAGTTGGCTTACTGAAAACTGAGTGTGAACCATTATAAATGCTACGGTAGCAGAACCTACCTGAAATAAGCGACCAAAAAACTAAAAAACAGCGAGATGCTTATCATTAAATGATATCTACTAACGGCTGCAACAATAAAGCGCAGGCGAAACTTAAAGAAATATTCTCATCAAAAATTCTAGTTTCTCTAACCCAAAATCCTAGCCTTAGGTGAAACACAAACAAAGAATATTCGCACATTATGCAGTTAGAATATTCACATATATTTGGAGCATGGAAGGATCTCATCTTACTCACACAAAGTTGGCAACACTGCTGACGACATCGTGTAAGGAAACACGCTCAACCATGGGATCATGAGACATTTTCTTTTGAATCTGGAAAAAACTAATATCGAATTTCTTGTGAGACTGGAAATATCTATGGCGATACTTAAAGGTCATACATGACTAAACGGTTGTGGCCCAGTGCATAATACATGAATGACTTCACGCTGCATTTTCTCAGTGAAAGTACACTTTCCCACACCTGGATAATACCTCTCGCCTGGAACAATATGGACCATTTGTTGGTTGCAACAAAGAAAACTGTAAAAAGAATCTGTCACAACGAACCGACTATCATTATCAACAAGTGTAACATCTCTTCAGCTAAGATAACGATGATTTTCCCAGTTTCTTCAGGCTCCATTTTCCCAAAAGGTGTTGGATGTTTCGATGCTCCGTCTCCAGATTGATCAGCCCATTGAACGAGACGAAAACGACAAATAATGTGTAACAGAAAATCTGTTGGAGGACGGATAGTAGCTCCAACCTGTAACATTAACATGTGAAACAAGGACAGAGGAGTTTGGAAGTTAGAACTATGAAAAGTAATGTTTAACGTTTTGTTTTCTGCCTTCTATAATTTTCATGGTAGGTTACTAAGCGAAATACAACCACAACGTTGCTGAGATATTTGCAAAACTCTGGACCGCAGGTGTCTATGGTGGGGAACGAACGCGCAATTGTCCCTTCCGGGGAGTAAGGCGTTCACCACCACCATAGACACCTGCGGTCCAGAGTTTTGCAAATATCTCAGCAACGTTGTAGTTGTATGAAAAGTAACTTAAAAAAACTAAACATAGAGGAAATTCTTAGGAGCTTATGACAGTGCAACACTTCAAAAGTTGGGTGACAGACAATTTTCTTTTGCATTTCAAAATAGGAGGAGATCTACATGGTGAAGTTGGCTACTGTCAAACCTGCATCATTAGCAAATCACGATCGAACATCTCCGTGCGACAAAGTGGCGAGTAATAGTTGTGAATCTGATTCACCAGTGAGAAGCCGTTGCGACGCCATAGCTGAGCGTGTGCTTGGGCACACAATACGAGTACCCTGCAGACAAATGCTTCAATTTCTCCAATGTTGTTTTCTTTTTGTTAGAGTATACGACTTCCTACCTGAGCGGCATCTCATACAGAGTGGTTGCCATTTTTCTTATTAGTTGACGAATGTAAACTTCATTATCTGATAGACTTGTAGTCGCAAGAGAAATCAAGAAATGTAGGAGGTTAGGACTAGCAGTAAACAATCCGGCAGTTAGTCGCCATAATGGTTGATGAATAGAGACTGCCCCACGTAGAACGTCAAATGGAATAACGACAGTTGAATCACCATTCACTAGAAGGAAAAATTTGAATGCTAAACTGAATTACCAAACAAGATGTTAGTATGCAAGACTGAAAACAAAAAGGTAAACACACCTTCCACAACAGTGTGAGTGGCCCCAGCTGGTTCTTCTAACGTAGAAGGTGGGTGAAGTGTAAGAGATTCCAAACAAATGCGAAAAACTGCACGATGGGTTGTTCGCTTAGAAAAAAAGGATAATAGATGCGTATGCAAGGAAGCGCGCGATTTTTTATCATGGAAGAGATAGGTAAAAAAAAACCGCGCTCACATCAGCTCTCGTCCAGGCAATAACATATCCCAGGATGTCTTGTATACGCAACTGGATGTTAAAAGCCGTTTCCCACTCTAACTCCCAAACTTGGTGCTCCACGGACTGACGTTTCACTTCATCCATACCCTATAAAAAGACTGAGTGAATAAGCAGAAGAAAAAACTGGAGTCTACACCTCCAAACGGCTTATGACCTGAAGACGATGCAAGAACCGTATCAGCGATTGACATCCTTCAATAAACTGTTCCCTCAACTGATCATTCCAATTCTCTTCTGATGGAACACACGTCAATATATAGCTGAAACGCAGCTCGCAGTCATGGTAGGGAGATCAAAGGAAAATTAGGAGGCAAAATTTTACAAAAATCTTTTCATAAACGTTTTCGATGGACTCTGCACAACCCGGAAACACAGATCAAATACCGCAAATGGTCTGCATTAAAATAGTAAAATAAAACCGTAATAAGTGAACAGACGGAAGATGAGTGAAAGAACAATAAGTGAAAAGCAAATTACCCAAGATCCCGCATCATATGCATTCCTCTCCTTACCGTAACAGGAAATGTATGCTTAGCAAAGTCAAAACGTGATAGTAAATCCTTCGGCTCTATAATTTACTAGCGTTAACAAAGAAAAAAATGTCTAAAACCAGCGCTAAGAACTAAACAACGACATAAATGACCTCTTGCGAACTGATCAGTATGCTTTACGAGTGAGCTGAAGATAGTCCGCATGGCACCATCTTCGGTAATGAGCTGTCTAAATTAGTTCGTATATAATAGAAATAAAGAGAAAAAAAGCACCAAAAGACTTATTAAGGTACCTTGCTATACTGGGGACAGTTAAAAACTGAACTGTGAGACTGACAACGGAAATGTCAATGTCGTGGTCATCATCTATGAATTCAGCGTAAATATCCTCATAATGCTGGAAGGCAAAAAGGAATTAAACCCGAGGGCAAACTATAAAATTAATGAGAAATGCGACAAACCTCAAGAAATGTTTTAGAAAACGAAACTTTCTGCTCAAAATTCATAAGTACGGTCTTCATTAACATTTGATGTGTGTTAGCCCGTGCAGCTAAAAAAAAAATTCTAAAAATACATCTGAAGGGCATGTATTGTGGGTAGGATGGACCATAGGCATTGATTTCAATTCATAATCCTTCCGCATTCTTTTGCATCAAACAGTTTTTTGCCATGCCTTGTATTCCAGAGACACTTTATACGACACACGTGGTCACTCAAACGGTGTTCCCAATAATTAACAAATTAGAATAAAAACACCCTTTTCGTTCGGAAGAAGTTTTCAATGCATATCGCGAACGAACAACAAACTCTAAGTGTTAAAACAACACTGAGAAAATCCCCCACCTACACAGAGAAAGAAAAATTTCAATCTGCAAATAAATTACATCATATCTCCTAACAAAGGATAGCATACAAAAAATCAAGTGCAAAAATCAAACTGCACCAACATTTCCACATTTTCTTATCGAAACGGAGTAATCGTACTAAAATCGTCTCATCGACTTCAAGACCATCGTTGTCCTTTTCAACGATTGTGTTCAATAAAACATCACCAACTATTGAACCGAGGACAGCTGAAATGGAGAATGTGAAGAACATAAATGGAGATACACTTGAGACTTTATTAAATCAGTTACTCTAGTTACCGCAAAAAACAGACTTTCCTGGGTCCATTTGTACAACTTATACCACAATTTCGATTTTACATATAACGAACGACTTTGATTTTGCAGTAATCCCCGAAAATTGTTCGACAACTACAATGCTTATAAAGTCTGGAACTTAGGGTTACAAAATAGACTTTCTCTGATCGCCAATGATGTCTACACAACCACAACGTTGCTGAGATATTTGCAAAACTCTGGACCGCAGGTGTCTATGGTGGAGAACGAACGCGCTATTGTCCTTTCCGGGGAGTAACGCGTTCACCACCACACCATGCGGGTCCTTCGTTTCGCCTGTCTCTCAGCTATTTCTATCGATCTTTTAGCCAAAGCAATGACCCGTCAGCGGGGTTGATCTGGGGAGCGCAAATCGGCATAGAACCCAGTTAAGCTATGGCTGTAGTTGAAATCACAATGTTTAACGTTCTGTGTTTTCTGCCTTCTATAATTTTCATGGCAGGTTACTAAGCGAATTACAACCACAACGTTGCTGAGATATTTGCAAAACTCTGGACCGGTTAACGACAATAGAGCGTTCGTTCTCCACCATAGACACCTGCGGTCCAGAGTTTTGCAAATATCTCAGCAACGTTGTGGTTGTATTTCGCTTAGTAACCTGCTATGAAAATTATAGAAGGCAGAAAACAAAACGTTAAACATGGTGTCTACACAATTCTCTTAAGGCATCATTTCTTAAAATTACGATTCTGACTTTCTCGGATGGAAAAAGTGGAAAGAGATTTAGATTTTTACAATATGACGTTCTGATAAGCTCCTATTCGATGAAAAGAGCGAAGAAAATCGTTAGTTGCAGTAAGTCGAAATTTTACTTGGGTAGGATAAGAAAACTTGCTGCTTGTTGCTAAGAACCTGTCGATCCTAACGGTTTTATCTCAACGAAGTTCATTATCAAATGAGATGTTTCTCTTTAACTTTGGAAGGTACGAATGTTTAATTTCAACAAGTTAGAAAAAATAATGCCACCCACTGTTTTTATTTGACAACAACATATAGAGCCCCTTTGAAGCGAAAAAAAGCTTGAAGCAAGACTAACGAAATGCATCTATCTGAGAATTGAGCCAAGCCAGAAGAGCAATGGCGTGATTCTGATGAGCAACCAGCGCACCATCCATGACCTTCACATCGAGAGGACCTGTCTTCTCAGTGCGTCTATTCACATCACGGAGTGTTCGACGCTTAAACCACACACAAAAATAAACCCATATGACATCCCAAAAAAATGAGATGCTCTGAAAGTCTCACCTGAATGTCAGACTTCACTCGTTCACAATCTAGCTTTGCCCCAACCTTAACCGAACTTCGACCCTCACGATCAACTATGGTAGCAATTAACATTGCTTGATCCTTAGTACAGTGTATAAACATTTCTAAGGCGCGAATAACCTGGAAGTAGATAAAGGCTAGCCACAACTGAATATGTCTTAACGACAGTGATTACCGTTTCGTACGTATGCGTTTCATCGTTGTACAAGACGGTAACATAAGGCGCCACACTTGAAACTTCAGGTTTTTCTATACCCATCCTGAAATTAACAATCTATTGTCGTCACAAAGAACACGATTGATAGATTAAATACACAAATACTGGATTCTTCTTACAAACTCAAGTCCAAAGGAAGAACATCTGCCTTTTCCCAACAGATTAACTTCGTGGAATACTGGAGAATGAGACAGGTCAATCCTCGAAGTCTGGCTTCCAGAGACTCTGGCAGAAAGAACGGGATATTGCTAAACGATGACTATACAGAAACTTGACTACAAAGTAGTGGTAGAATTGGAATAAAATAAGAACCGAGAAAAGAATTGGAATGAAAATGCCATTCTAACTGGAGACAAAAAATGGTGGCAGACGCACTCGTCTTCGTTCATTTCGTGCAATTTGCAGGCGTACCCTCTGCTCCAAGCATCCTTATCTCCACAGTCGCAGTAACCGGCACCATTTGAAGTATGCATCTAAAACAAAGAATAAAACTTACAACAATAAGTCCGTGTAGAAAGGTTCCGTTAAAAAAGGAATAGAACCCCTGTAGCTTAGTCATGAGATAAAAAAAGCTCTTAGCGTTGATCAATCCCTGAGAGATGCGCCATTCACTCGACTTCATTAAGCATCGTTTGGAGGTGACTGAATGCATAGATAGCCTTTACAATGACTTGCAGTGCTACAATGATGTATTCAGCTAGCGCTGCTAACCCCCTAGACAAGTCTGGTCATGGGATACAATAATAAAAACCTGTACAGAGAACTCTTCTAACAATCACTATCCTTTTCAACTTAACGTTGAGGCAAGTCTTTTTACGCAGCCGTTCAGACAGCAGAGAAACCAAAGCAACAATTTCCCCAAGGAAGTTTTAAATGTCGGACTAACTTTGTACTTATGTGCTTTGTGCTCGGATTGGTGAAAACATTCATGACACATAACACACGTCGCGTCGGTGGCACAATCCCTGGAAAATGTTTCGGGTAAAACTCCACGATCTGAAAAACTGACGAAACGTACTTGCAGCTGTATGTGAGTTCACCGCTTTTGAACACATGGCCACAAATTTGACCAGTACGGTGTTTTTCACCTGAGAAACCAGTTTGCTCGATCAACGGACGGAGAGAGGAGTCTGTGACCGATGAATCAGCACAGAACGCACCAGCCAACGGCACAAATAAAGCTGTATCTGTAACCTCGATTTAGTTCCGGTTGGTTGTCGAGAAGAAAAACCATTTTAAAAAAATGAAATATCGAAGCATACTGATGTCTTTTTCGTCCTCGGAAATCTCCCAGGGATGTTCAGGATTGGGCGCATAGAGCTTCGGACATTCGGAACCCCAGTGATGGAACAGGAGTTCACGAGCGCGATCCCAATCCGCCTGACGAGCTGCGCTCACCAAATCGACGATCATTCCCAGCTCAGAAACGTCAGCGAATTAAAACGGCATGGAAAAACCAATATTTGCACTGAAATAAATAAATTAAAAGAACAAAAATGGAGCGGCTGTAGAAATATTTGTCACAATGAGTCAAGATTGAAACTAATAGTGCAAACGTCGCAAAGATCAACAACGAACGCAAACACACAGGGGGTAAAATGAGACCTGGTGGCGAAGATGATAAGATCTCAGCAAATCAAAACAACAAACTTCCAGAGAACACTGAAAACTATCAGATCAGCAGAGATGTAGGCGAATCTGCAGATCAAATCGAAAACTCCCCCTCCCACATCGGAATCGGTCAACACCTGTTTACGCGGGGGAAGTATGACGTACACGGAGACTCGAGGACAGAAATCAATAAACACGGCCGCTTCTGCGTGGTGAACTCAAGCAGATGTCGAACTGGACTTCTTTCTTGAATCACAAGCCTCAGCAGATTGACGGTTCTGTTGGTGTCAAGCGATTCTATCATGAGAACTACTGCGTCAAAAACAAACACTCGTTCACTTAGTGGGAAAAAACAGCACCGATTTCTTCCATGCAAAATGTTTGACACAACTGCCAAGCTTGTTAACTGTTTTAAAGATTAGTCTAGTCTTATGTCATTATTAAATCTAAGGCACCGTAACATAGCGAGCAACAATCGGGACTTGTCCCATGAATGACGGACACGCCGAGCGATGCCCTCCACCCCAGCTGGCAGGCACGAGGATTGTGCATTTGCCGTGGTTACACCAAACACTTCTCAGTACGGCTACCGTCGATGTCTAATCCTCGTTTTTCTGCCGCACTGGACGCAGTGTGAAGCAAGTGACGGTCACACTAACCACTACGGCTTGACCGGCGCCGTGCTTGTAGTTTCCTTTCTACAAACTCGTTTTTCTGTTTGCTTTGAGAATATGTCAGGTTTTTGGTATATGTACAACTCATGAAGAAAAGAATTTGTCCACTATGCAGTTATGCTGCTGTCAGCACTCAGTGAAGTACTTCCAGTTGTGCAAGAAGTACTGCGAGGTCTGCTTTGTGGTCTTGATGTCCTCTCGTTCCATACAGTGCTCAGAAATCATCAGAACGATTGAATATTAGAAAACCACGATTTGCTTGTCAAGAATGGTGCTGCACACAACGTGCGACGCCAGTTCCTCGATAACTCTCAACAATTTTTCAGGGATTATCGTACTTTAGGAGTTGGAACCTTAACAGATTTACGGAAGAGACTTCGCACTATCGTTGTATGAGTATTAATCTTATCATATATTCGCTTATTCCATACGATAAACGCGGTTCATCGTAGCGAGTGGAAAGGATGGAGCAATCAACAGTTTCGTAGCTTGGTGGGTTTCAATGTAGATTTCTTCATCGGTGTTATGTGGCTTATTTAAGAATATCCTAGATGCCCTTGTGTGCTATCCCGTCAAGAACACAGTAAGTCAGGGGCTTCAGGAGACGAAATTACTTGCTACTGCCCGAGACCATTTGACGTACCACTCTCGTGTTCTGGAGAAATGGCAAGCAGTAGCGTCACTTATTTGCTTTATTAGTGCATATATATATATATATATATTTGCATAAGGAAGGCCTATTGATTACGGGTCAAAAATTGAGTGCCTACAACACGTAACCAATAACTTTCGGTTCTACCAGCATTTCGCTTGGTTCTGTAGAAACTCGAAGTGTATTCTTGTGTGGCTTAGGCTTTGACTGTTTTATATCCACTGATTCCATACTGTTCCGGTCGTAATAACTGTTTATCAGATGTAAATAGTGTAAAAAGTAAAGATTATGGGTAGTTGAAGGCGAGTAACACGTAGAAAGAGTGCTGTGTACGGAGGTTTTAGCTTTTAACGATTGTAAAGAGTGCTAGTTCTAGGTGTTTGAAGTTGTAAGAATTTTAAGTGCTATGTGGAAGGTACTTATTGTGGAAATTTCACAAAACAAATCCATTTCTTTGTGTCTGTATTTGCCCTGTGTGCACAGTATATAAATATGTATATGTGCATATATATATATATATACATGCATATATATGTGTATATATATGTCACCTATATCACCTGTACCTTGCTTGTTTCGTTGATAACCCAACACGAAGTTGTTGCCAAACATTTATTCGGTTAGTGTCTCGACGCCTCCGTCTTCATAAGAGCCGATGATCCGAGTCGATGGTCCACAGTCGTTCGTGTTCTCGAGATAGTGTCAGACGTCATATCAAGTCGAAGACGAATAAACATCGCATTGAGAGGACAAACGACTGTAGATCATCGACTTAGATCATCGGTTGTGATCAAGGCGCTTTCGAAACTTTAGCCGAATAAATGTTTGCTAACAACTTCGTGTTAGTTCATCAATGAAATAAGGCACATTGATCATTCATAAAGGATAAACGATAAAGCTGTCGGCATTGATCAATCTCTGAGGAATGCGCCGTGCATTCGACTTCACTAAGCATCGTTTTAGAGGTGGTTGAATGCATATCTGGCGTTTACAATGACCTACAGTGGCCTGCTGATGTATCGAACCAGTGCTGCTATCCTCCCAGACAAGTCTAGTGCCAATTTGCCGACTCCGAAGGGATGGAGGGCTTGGTGGGTCAAGGGCGCGGGGATCAATCCTGTTTGTGTATTGTAGGGCGCTTCCGATCAGCGGCCGTTATAGACAAGTATATATATATATATATATATATATATATATATATATATATACACATATGTATATATATTTAACGGAAACGACTTTCATTTAATCTCGGCATGGGGAATCGATATATTGTTCTATACATGAACTTGCATGTGGTTGGTACCCATATCGTATATGTCGTGTGTATTTTTTCTTTATTGAATCGCGATGTTCTGATGGTTTTCGTCTCATTTCAAGTTGGTTTAAATTTGGAAGTCTAACTTATTCTCCATCACTTCCGCATTTATGTCTGCATATATCGTTGCGAATGCCCCAAAGACTTGTTCTGATATGCAGTGACTCTACTCAAAAATTCTTCTAAGTACTATTCGGGAGTCGCTGTTGAAACAATTCTTTTAGAAGCCCAAAAGTGAGAAAAAATGTGGCAGATGTATTATGCTTGCACGGAGGCCCTTTGTGCTGTTTCTGTGGTCAACACACCTCTTGGAGACACCACTCCTCCATTCCTGCTAACTGGATGTAAGTAAACGTTCTCCTCCACGAAATGAAAAGTTGATAAACTTTATGACTAACCATGCGCACTAATTTAGATGGGCTTTGGATTTCCCTTTTAGTTGGATCCCCTGACAACAAGCCCATCTAAATATCTGGGATCTATGGTCTGTCATCTGCTTCCGGTGGATAACCTCCTTCGCTCATACCAATATGGGTAATTTCTCTTCTAAATGGGTTATTTTGCTTTCCCCTACAGCATTTCCGTACAGAAATTTAGAACTTAAAATCGACGATGCAACAAATATTTCTGTTTAAATGCTTCCAGTAACGCCCGAATGAAGTGGAAGTGCGGATTGGTTTTGGTTGTTACAAGCAGTATGTGAAGCGTTTAATTGTAAACATTGAGGGTTATGGTGATTGTAAATTATATTTCAAATGTGCTAATTCCTGAGTTAGTGGGTTCCAAGGAGAATAGATCGTACATAAAGCGCATTTGTTTTAAATGGTGTTAGGTATGTACAAGATAACTTGTATCTAAAGAACTAGTCGGAAAATGTAATCGTGGTCCGATACGACCCGGGGTCCAAGTTTTGCGAATATCTCGGCATCGCTGTGGTTATATCTAAAGAGTAATAAATAGGAATAGAGCAGATTATGTGGGTGGACATCAATGAACATCTAGTTCGTTCGCAGATAGTTGTCTTGGTGGCTGCTACTCAAACACTTCGCAATTTTTATCGAAATTGATTATGGAAATGGAAGAAATCCAAGATGTGGAAAGTTTCAGTTGTAAGTAGTCGAGTTTATAGGCAAAGAATGATATTTCTATGTACGATGTTGAGATTGTGTGCAAACATATGTACATTACAAACTGCGGTTTGAGCACTAGATGGTTTAGGAATAAGAGCGAATATCGGTGTGTAAACAGCACATTCGTAGGAATTGGGATGAGTTCAAGAATATACGGAGGGAAACATGAGAACCGATTTCCGCTGCATATCACTTTTCGCGCGTAGCTCACTGGTTGGTTCGATTTCGCACCGTAAGCCGATCTAGCCTTCCATCCCTCCGGGGTAGCTAGATTGGTACCACACTTACCTGTGAGGGTAAGACAATGGCTCAATAGATGTAACTACCACAAGTCATTGTGTAGGTCGAATATCCATTCTCACAGTTAATGTGCATACCTCTGGAATTGATCAACGGCAAGCGCTTCCGCTCTACTTACCATTTCATTTGGATTCATTCTGTACATGACGTATCATGTGAGATTGGATTGGTCGCACACGGAGGATGCTGGATTCCACATGGTCAACGCGAATTCGCTTCGATTGAAAACTACGGGGTAGTTTCTGATGAAATAAAACTCAGTGAACCGTTGCACTAGGTTGCTCGGAAATTGATGACCGATTTGTAACTTCATTTCTTTCTGTCTGTTTCAGCAAAAGCTTTCTTTCGAATGCTTTACTGTTATACATTATTTTAAACCTCATTGTATGGACTTTTTCTCCTTATGTGTCTCTAACAAATTTTAGACGCTAAAATTTCAGATGTTAAAACCGAAGTTTCGACAAATCTACTTTTACGAGCTGGAACTCTAATGTAGTACTGCTAAAATGGCCCAATACGTTAATGAAATATAAGACCAAAGAAGTGTTAACAAATGTACTGTACAATATTGGTTTGAGAAATTTAGTCGTGGCCTGGCCAAGTCGACCTTAGAAATAAAAGAGGTTACAGACGTCTTTCTGATGTTGCCGACTCTGAGTTGCAGGCTTTCCTATGAACCAATACATGCACGACGGTTCAAGAACTTGGAGAACTCACTACATCCATGT